TAGGTGGATGAGGAGATGACAGAAGTGCAAGAAGGACGAGAGAAAGAGAGAGAGAGAGAGAGAGAGAGAGAGGGGTGAGTGTGGATTATTAGTGGCCAGGTGCAGATAGGCCGAGCTGTAATTACTCAGAGAGAGAGAGAGAGAGGGAGAAAAAAGGGGGAGGGTGTCAGACAAAGGTCAAGGATAAAGAAAAGATGGAGAGAAGGTGGAGGAAGGAGGGAGGAAGAGGAGAGATATGATACTTAATTACAGTTCCACTGAATAAAAGTGTGAAAAGTGACGGCTCTGACTCAGCCGGGGTACAGTAGTCTGGGGGGGGGGGGGGTGGGGGGGGGGGGGGGGGCAGGGTGAGGTGGGGGAGACTGAAAAAATGTTCAGAGGATCTGACCTTGTGTTTCTGACCTGGCCTTTCAGAGCAGTTGTCTGCCTGTCGGCCCTGTCGGGAGCCTTATGTTGGACATCATGTTTGTTCCGACATAGTTTCCCATAAAAAAAAAAAACACTCCAGAAAAAGGAGAACAGGAGGAGAATTAAAGTATTATTTGAGGCCTGTGTATTCTAGGAGATGGATTCCTCTGTGCGCTCCCCAGACGAACATTAGCCGGTCGGATATTTATGCCCCCCCCGGGGGTCGCTGCAACAAAAGGGAGAAGAACGGAGGAAAGCAAACATGTTGCTCTTGGCCGGGGGAACGGGACCTCGACGATAAAGGCCTGACATTTCTCACTGTCACGAAGTCGGTACAGGGAGAAGCAGCGAGTGGAAAAAAAAATTAATAAAAATATATTTTTTACTGTTTTTAATAAAGTGGGTCAGTAACTTCGACAAAGATTTAAAAAGGTGAGACCTGGAGAAAATCAGCGCGTGAACGTCGGCTTTGTTGTTAGAGACTGTCCGTCAGTCGGACTGACACAACAGTCAGATGGGTTGTTCAGGACTGTAGACTGGAGGACAACAACGTTTGGACTGAAGTTCTACCAGGCACCGTCCAGATGAACGGTCGTGATTAAAAAATGAAGATACATTTGGAGTTGAACTTTTACAGATACGTTTTTTTTATTTTTCCTTATCAATAACTCCATCATTAGTTGTTTATCTGTCATTTTATTTCAAAAAATGTATTTTTTGTTATTCAGATTAATCATGATTGATCGTGTGATTGAAAGAATTGTAATCGTTTTGCACCAGCACTAATGAACAAACTCAGTTATTGTAAAAAAAAAAACTGAATTTAAACTTAATTTTTTTAGTAACTTTTAAAAGTGCTGTGTTTGTTGAGTTCTTTAAAACCGTAAGAACGACGGCGCTCTAGCTACGCCGATGACACCGCCGTGGTTCAGCTGTTTAGAGTGAACACGGCGTCCATACCGTGAAGATGAAGTCCACGAACGCCTCATCGCACCACGAGAATATGTCGCCACGTAACAATACACACACGCGCCTCCTATTTAAAGCTGCTGCCGCGGTCGAGCCGCCGTCACCTCGCGACAACTTTCAAAGTTGCCAAAGAGTTTTCTCAGGGGCGGCTCAGCCTGGCGCGGCGCGGCGCGGCGTGGCGGTCCAGTTGGAGTTGGCGGCGGCAGCGAAAAGACGAGCCCACCATTTGACGGGGTATTTACGTGGGCAGTGGGCGTGGGTGAAGATGGCACTAATTAAAATGGAACGGACTTGTTTGGGAAGCTGTGAAAGGGACGTCTGTGGGTCGGAGCGTGGATCGGAGCTCGCGTTTGTGCGAACGATCGCATATTTGTGTCTAGGTTTGTTTTTTGTTCTTTGTGTGTTTTTTTTTTTTTTTGTTCGTTAGAAACACAAAAAAGTCTCTGACTGTTCGTTCTTTGTGTGTTGTGTGTGTGTGTGTATGTGTGTGTGTGTGTGGGCTGTCTTGGAAACATGTTTTGGCGACGTCCTGTGTTAATGTGAGGAGAACCTGGGGCAGGTCACGTTACCACCCTCCTCCCCCCTCTGTTAAACCCCCCACTGTGCATTTATTCCCAGCATCCTATGGCAAGCACCCCCCCACGCCCCCCCGTTCTCTCTCTCTCTCCCTCCCTCTCTCTCTCTCTCTCCCTATCTATCATGATAAACAACACATTGCCACACAGCCGGAGTCTGATCGCCAATAGAAAAAAAAAAAAAAAAAAAAACCTCGGCATTTTGTTGTTGTTGTGTTTTTTTTTTTTGCATCAAAAAATAGCAAAGACAAAAGGAAGGAGCCAAAAAGACCGAGCGAGAGAGAGAGGGAGAGGGAGGGGGGGGGGGGGGGTGGAAAGTGTAAACAGGAAGGGTGTATTTGCATTGGTTTTTCTATCCAGAGGGCGCTGTTGTCGTCGTGGGGCGAGCTCGTCTTTGGGGAAACAATCCCGACACTTGTGGGAAAAACAGCTCCGTTCTACCTGGAGTCACCGCTTTCACAGAGTTTGACTTCGTAGCTACAGTACGTGTGTGTGTGTGTGTGTGTGTGTGTGTGTGTGACTCACTGCAGCCGGGCTTGTAGTTGAAGCCGGGGGGCATGAGGAAACCTTGTTGGGCCGCGGCGGCCGCCAGAGTCCTCTGGTCCGGAGGAAAGACCGGAATCATCAGCGGAGGGAGTTGTCCCTGGACCTGCTAATGAGGGAGGGGAGGGGGGGGGGGAGGAGGGGGGG